GGGTCGGAACAAACACACCAAACCTGTCTGTAGACAATGCGACATCCCTTCAAAGAAGGGTCGCAAGGAAGGGATGAGTCAACCAGGGTGAAGCACAGCACCGATGAAACACACAATATTCCTCTGGTTCCTTGAGGCTTCCTCACCCCCCACTATCATGACCCCAGGACTGCCCTTTCACTGCGGGTTAGGCTGGAGCATGTACACAGGTACAGATAAGAGCTCACAACACATAGAGTCCAGGTGAGATAAACCCCTCAGGAAAAGAAATGTGAGCAGTGATACCAAGAGGGTAGGGGGAAGGTGGCGAGAGGAGAGGGCAAAAACGTGGGGGAAGGGAGACAGCGGTCAGTGTAAGATGTGAAAATAATAATAATTTATAATTTATCAAGAGGGCAGGAAGGGGTAGGGTGGGTAAAAAGAGCTGATACCACGGACTCAAATAAAATGTAAATATTTAGAAAATAATGATGGAACATATGTACAAATATGCTTGATACAATTGATGTATGGATTGCTATAAGAGCTGTAAAAGCCCCCAGTAAAATGATCTTTTTTTAAAAAAACAAAACAAAACATAAAAACAGTTCTTGTGTTTCTTTCATAATAGTCAAATGGTGAAAATATTGGCTGGACTTCAATTAGCCAAGATCAAAGGTCATCATAGCTAGAGACAGTTCTGGCTATTCTCCAAGCACTAGGAACTATGTCAGAATTCACATAATTCATGAATTTGAAAGTTGTTTTCCCTACAATGGACACTAATTATAGTAATAGTTTATTTATGCCTACTGAGACTTTAGACATCTAAATAAATCCAGTCTGTTAATGGGATATTTGGCTATAGTTTTCTTTTTATTATAAATCAAAACTATACAGCATATTACATGAATTGAATATTTATCAACTTCCAGATTTCCACTTTTCTTTGAGCTCTTGGCATTAAGTTCAAATTGGCTTAGAGGTGAATACTTAGGTTTGGGAACTCTTTTTATCCTTAGGGGAAAGAAAAAGTCAACATACTCAATTCCTGGAGCCAACAGTTCTAAGAAAGACAATGGTATTGTCATGTACTTTGAATCATATCATTTATAGAACTAAGTTATTATCTTGTTTACCCTTTCAAGTCAGCCCATTCATGATGATTCTTTTGAGAGGCCTCCAGAAAATAACTGTCTATATTATTATTCATTCCAGATTTTTTCTCCCTTTAGGCATTTGAAGCCCATTTGTTTTAGTTATATACTCAAGGCAGAAAGGCTTTGCTGTAAAAACTGTTTTGCCAAAGAATGTAAACCATTCTTCTGACTTTTGTGTGCGGACTTTTTACCTTTGTGAATAGCTTTACATTACTCTGCGGAACAGTTCCAATGAATACTTGAAGTCAATGTTATCATTCCCACCAGGAAGCATGTGTGGTTTTCAGTACATCCCATATATTCTGAGAAGGCCCTTAAGACTACCCTCTTGCCAAGCAGGATCTCCGATGGGCAGAATCCATTGCAATCAGGGATTGTACTCTGGGGTCAGACCTTGACTCTGTGATACCTCATGGTTAGGGGTTTCAACATGGGTCACAAGGTTACCAAGAATGTGAACTAACCAAGAGGCACAGCTGCCACCGTGGGAGTCTCACCAAACACACCAAATTTGTGCAGGACCTGTGTCTTTGCACCACACAGTCGGCACACCATGGATCTATTCAAGGTTTCCAAGGACAGGTAAGTCCGCAATGTCATTAAAAAGTGAGCACACACAACTGCACCAAGAAGTTAGAAGAGGTGAGCAACCAGATTCTGAAGCCATGAGGAAGGCAACGGTGAAGGACTGAACCCCACATCCCCGTGTATAATAACCCCCCACCCCCACCCCTTTCTCATTGTTTCTGTTGAAGCTGCTGCTTCCAGAACGATCTTACATCCTGTTTTTGACATTCCCATTTCTATCTTCTCAAGCTTCCTTAATATTATCACAGGCAGCACACAATTTAATGTACATCTTAACTTTATTAAGAATGCATTACAACATCAATTGAAAGTCACTTTTGGTCCTGCTTAGAGACAGGTATTTATTATGAGGCAAAATGATAGCAGCTATCCATGGTTGTGCTGCTACTAAAATACTTCTCCTGGGTGGCTTGATATGGGCAAAACCTCCTTCAAAACCCCTTCAGTGCGCAGGCTGTTCTGTCACTTCCCTCTCGAGCGGAGGGATTTACAATGTATAAAATAAGCTTGTAAAGAGCTCCTCTGTGTCAGAGGTAGTTTTGTATCTGCATTAGGAATCACAGAAGACATTTGGTCAAAGATCTATAAAAGAGGCAAACGATTTACCCAGAGCTCAGAGTTAGAACCCGTTGTGTTATCGAGATAATTGTCCAGCGTGGCAAAATATCAACCGAATAGTAGAATCGCCCATTTATCTACTCAACATCAAAGCATGCAGTAGCAGCTTATGCAGACATTAGCGTTCAGAGACAGCCTTGTCTTTGGCTTGAGCACCAAGGATGCATTTCAGAAAGTAAAAAGTACATTTAAACGCAATGACTAATGTAGTGGACTGAATGGCACCCCCTCCCCCCTTCAAAAGTATTATGCCCACATCTCAATCCCTAGAATTTGTAATGTGACTTTGATTTGTTCAAAGGGTCTTGGTAACGTAATGAAGGATTCTGAGGTGAGGTAATCATGGATACTATAGGTGGGTTCTAATCGCCATCACCAGAGTCCATTTAAGAAAGACGAGGGAGATTTGACACATGAAGGAGAAAGTTATGTAAAGATACGGGAGAGACAGATAGCTTATACAAGCCAAGGAAAGCAAGCAGTCATAAAGAACTGTAAGAGGCAAAGAACAGACTCTCTCCCACAGCTTCCAAAGGGACTGCAGCCTTGCAAACTGCGTGATTTGGGGCCCCTAGAAAAGTGGAAGTATACATTTCTCTCCTTTTAAGCCACGCTGTTTGTGGTAAGTTGCAGCAAGAGCTATAGGGATGGACCACAGATATTGGTGGGGAATTGCAGTGCTGTTATAAACCAATACCTAGAAATGTGCACATGGTTTCAGAATTGGATAATGGGTAAAACCTGGAAGGATTTTGAGGCACATCATAGAAAAAAAAAAAAACCCAAAACCTTTGATTGCCTTAAACAGACTGCTGGTTAAAGAGACCTTGAAGGCAATTCTGGTGAGAGCGCAGGAAGAAGTGATGCTAAGCACGGTAGAGAAAGCTTCTACGGTCTTAGAGCCCAAAGATTGTCAGAACAGAATGTTGGGCGAAAAAGGAACATCAAAGGCGCTTCTGGTGAGGACTCAGAAGGGAGTGAGCATTCTGGAGAAGCCCGAAGCTGGAGGAAGGTAATCTTTGCTATAGAGTTGCAAAAAGCTCAGCGGCATTGTCTCTTATAGTTGAGGAAAGAAGAGATCTGTTAAGTGATAACCGTAAATATTTAGCTGAGGAGATTTTTGAGCCATCAGTTGAAGTTAGGATGTGGTTTCCTCTTGCTACTCAACAGTAAAAGAGGAAAGAGATAACTGGAGAAGGGAATTCTTAAGCAAAAGGGACCTGGCAAATTGGGAAATTCTGAGCCCATCCAGATGGCAAAATATGCTAGAATTAGAAGATTCACTGTTAGGAAAATATCCTTTAGAGGGAAGGCAAAGGGTGTAGCTTGATAAACTTTGGAACAGAGAAGGGTCTACATAAGAACATCTGTAAAGATCTTATGTGAATGAACATAACACACATAAGAGGTTCAGAGGCCCCCACCTATCCCTATTTTTAAAAAAAATAATGTTATACCAATAAAAATGCTTTCAGATTGAATTAGAAGTGGCAGAGATAGGACAAAATCAAGAAATGTGTTAGACTCCAAAAATTCTAGTATAAATTCTAGGTTGAGAGTTTTGGAGCTAATGTGATGGGTGAATATGTTTGGGTATGGCATTTTGATGACCAGAGGGAAGATTGTAGTGATAAATGGTGCCCTCCCTAAAGATATGTCCATATCCTAAGCCTGGAATTTGTGAATGTTACCTTATAAGGCAAAAGATGTATGTTAAGTATCGTAAAAGGAGCAGCTCACCCTGGATTATCCAGGTAAATTCTAAATACAATCATTGTATCTTTAGAAAAGAGAAGGAGGAGGAGTTAGAGAACACACAGAGAAGGAGGTGAAGTCAAAGCGACTAAGAAGGCAGAGAGTGAAAATGATGTGGTCACAAGTCAACGAATGCTGACATCCTCCAAGAGCTTGGACAAGGAAAGGAAAGTAGTTGCCCCTGCATCTTCCAGAGGGAACACAACCCGGCAGACAATTTGATGTCAAATTTCTGGTCCCCAGGATTGTGAGAAAATAGATAGCCATTGTGTTAAAACATCAAGTATGTGGTCATTTGTTATAGCAGCCACAGGAAACAAATGTAACTGAGTAAACATTTTAAGGGCTTTGCAGTCTCTTAAATAACATTCTGGAGGGGGGGGGGGCATCTGCATAAATACCACACATGGCAGTAATAAACCCAACATAAGACTTTAGTAGTATGTGGTTCTGTACTAAAAATGTCACTGTGTACTTTTTTACTTAGTGATATTTTCCTGTAAAAAAAAAAACCAAAACAAAACCCCAAAACGAAAAACTGCAACTGCTGGAGCAGGACCATTATAAATGGGGGAAACAAACCCTTACCGGAACTTCTTAAAAACCTGGAAAGGTTTTCAATCTTTGTGAAAAGCATATGGGGTTAGTTTGAATACAAATATATAATTTATCAATCATAGGTCTTCATTCTTTTTCATAAAGTAGAAAACAAATCAAATTTACATCTGGAAAAGTTAAAACATGTCAGTGTTTCTGGCTTGACAGCAATGGCATGGTAAAATCCCTCAATTTTAATCAGGGTTAACATTTTTAAAAATACCATTTTCATACAGTATGAAAGGCTACCGAAAGACTCAAGCCATCTTGTGAAGTCAAAAATACACACATTAGGCATATATATAAGTTAATAGAATCTAAACTTTTATTGTTAAAAAAAAGTGTGAAGTTGCTATCTCCCTTCAGTTTTTGTGCATTTTTTTCAAGATAGGATAAAACTATAACATCTTAGGTATTGTTACTTTTATTGGTGTTTCTATCGTAGCAGCTTCAGAGCTTTGGGACATAATATCTGATGAAGAAGATACTGGAGGGAAAGATAGTAGTTGAAATCATGACACATGGATGTACAGGTACATAAGCTGGCGGTCACTTGTTTATACTTTTTTCCAGAGGGTGACTTGCCTGCCAAATGAGTCATTTGTTCTTTTCGAATGTCTATAATGTGCCATGGGGGAGTAGAAATAGTATTTTCTATATAAGAAATATACATATAAGAAATCTTTTATAATAATTACAATCCTTGGCATTATCCTTAAAATTGCACTCCAGAGAAATTATCCCACATTTTATTCAAGGCATATCTGAAAGTAATAGACAAGCTAAGCATCTCTTTCACTGTGTCATCTATTTAAGACAAATGCAGAGTTTGGTTTCACCCTGCTCCCCCAGCCCCACCCGATCCCAGTGATGTTTTGGTAGTATCATTCTAATTTGTTCATAAAATGTGGTGAGCCTGACGATGCTTGAGGAGTTCTCTTTGCTACTAGGATCTGGAATCATTGTAGCAAGAGCTATAAATATATACACATATATACACGTACATACATAGAATTTCTATTTCTCTTCTTCCTCAGACCACCAAAGCAGAATTGGAAAGGGGAGTAGCAAGTGAGATAAAACAATTGACCTTTCAGACAGTTTTCTGCTGCCTCCTGCAGAGAGAATTTTTTTCTCTCTCAGGTCTTCTAGCACTCGATTCCCTGCCTTCGAGGGGGTCTAGGAAGAACGAAGCAGCGAAATGGGTAATAAAACCAGAGAGGACAGGAATCACTATTTGAGTTTTAAAATTTAAACAAAGGTCATAGAATTTTCAGATTCTTCCCTAGCATAAACATTAAAATGTGATTTACGTTCACAAAAATAGCCATTATAAAGTGTTTGTACAAAGTAGGTGCATATGCATAATTAGAAAATACCTCTTTAAATAAAGTTGAAATCACTTTCTGTGACTGATTCTGCCAAACTTTGGTTTATTTTTAGCAACGATAAGTGCCTGCAATATCAGGCTGTAACTCTAGATTAATGATAAATTTAATTTCAGCCCAAGCAGATGAATCCATCAGCTTTCACTTGAGATAAGATTCTAAATAACTTGACGGAGGGCAAGTAGAGCTTCTTTCTTTCTTTTTTTTTTTTTTTTAGTTCCCAAAATGGCTACTCGGACAGAGCACACACTGTGTGTGCCTGTCCAAAATCATAGACGTGTTCATTTTTATTGGTCTATTCTGCCTGCATACGGCCAAGGTCAGAACCGGACGTTGACTAATTCTTGCTTACTTGCCTTTTACTTCTCTTTCCTTCTTTTGAAAGGTGGTGACCTGAAATTTGGGGCCAGTTTGTACAATTTTGACCAACTGAAATGCTTTTAAACATTCTTTGTTCTCTTCAGTGTCTTATATTTTCATCATGGTGACATCAGATTACACACAACAGTGAATAACACACATCAGGACACTCAAAAGGAACACACTTTTGTTCTAATCCAGACAATGGTGTTCATAGTAGTATACTTGTGGGAGGAGTCTGGCAGTAGTTTGACAAACGCACATGATTTCATCCAGCTTAGCTTGATCTTGGCCGAAAGACACTGATTTCCTCTCCATCTCTTGAGTGCACGTTTTGTTCTTCTCAGAATGTAGAATTTGTGTTTACTTCAACATTTCTCAAACTCTTTGGCATCAAGAATCACTTAGATGCGATACCTCCATTGTGGCGAGAGCGTGACCTTTCCAAAGGGACCCGTCTGTTATCTGTAAGAAAAAGAGCAAAAAAGGAAAAAAACCAAACAAAATGAGTTTTAGATTTCAACTCTTACACAGTGTCAGGTCAAGAGGTTTTCAAACAGTCCTGCAAAATCACTTCAAATGAATATGTAAATAAGCAACCAGGAGCCTGGATCTGAGGAGTTTACACTACAGCTGCCAGGCTGAGTTCAACAGTTCTGAAATCAGCAACAAATGACTTTCTGGGTAAGTGAAATCAGAGCAACAAAGCGAATGGAAGAATTCTCTGAAGCATAGTCCCCTTGGAAATAGGAGGCAACAACACAATTCTCTGGGAAAGATATTCCCCATGAGTGCTCAGTCTGCATGGTGGCTACCTCTAGAGGACGCCAGCATGGGCGTTTTTTTTTCCCCCTGTCTTTAATTTTTCATAATGATTGCAATATTTGGCAATCAAACCATCTCCCAGTCCTTGCTTGATTGTATGATGTAAACAAATTCAATATATTATATAGTCATTGTGGGAATGAATAATGAATAGGTCCTATTCTCCCCACCACTCACAGGAAGAATAATCACTGTAGTGATGATGACTGTTGGCATGAAGCTTGGAAAGCAAAGTTTCAAAGCATTGGAAGTTGCTGAAAATAGTTTTGGCTTTAATAAGAAAAAGGTTTACAGCTCTGCACTGCAATGATCACTACTATGTTATTATCACCTCTGCTTTATGCTCAGCTTAAATGCAATTGATGTGGGTGAAAATCTCTCTCAGGGAAAAAAGCGTAATATACTTATATTCTCTGTTTAGAATGAGCCTAGGTCCCCAGAAATAATGACAACCACCGGCACTTACATAAATGCTAACACTTTACACTCGTTAATTGGCTACTTCACACAACATCCCCGGGAGGTAAGCCCATTTCATTCTATCCTATTATCTCTGCTTTAGTGATGAAGGTTACCTAGCAAATCAATGGTATGACAAGGGATTATAATGCAAAGTTAATGTCTGAATGTCAGGCCTGCTTTGTTCAGGAGGTAGATGCTGGGGCCTCCCAAGCTACTACTCATTTCCTCCCTTAAAAAGTCGTCCTGCCTGTCACACGGGAAGGATGGGGAGCACTAAGACGTGCTGGGGTTTGGCCATAGTGCCTCTCTAATCTGTGTAAGTGTCTCTTGACTGCTTCCCAGTAGTCTGTGGTCAGTACACAGAGCCATGCTCACTGACCCCCACAACCTTGGCCTCATTAACACCAAGGCACGAGAATACTGAGCCAACCAGCCCCACACTTCACAGCCCACAGAGTGCTTTATAATGCAATGATATCCCTGAGAGGTGAGAAAAAAAGAGGCATTTCTTGTTCTACTCTGATATATCTGAATGATGGATTATTTTGGTACCCTTTGAAAGATACCATTAAAAAATTCATTATTCAGTTTGTGATAGCAATCACAATTCAGCTACAAATGTGAAGATAAGACTTTTGGATAAAGGGCTTATGACGTAGATCCCAACTGGTTTGCATATAAATGGGCTTAGGTTTTTAGAGACAATATTTAAAAATGAGATTATAATATACTGGCTATTACTCATTGCTAGTATGTAAGCATGCTGGCTTAAAGCTACCAGAAACTAGAATGTTGGGAGCATTCTGAAGGGATTGTTTTAGTGCAAATGGAGGCTGGCATCTCGATGACACTAGAGTCACCAGCCAGGAATGCTACTGTTGCCCCAGGTTTCCATTTACTGCTTACTGGAGTCCTGAGAAGAACCACATCCTACCCAGCCAGGCAGCATTAAATGATGTGATGTGAGGCGTCACAGTAACCAGCAACTTACTGGTGGCATTGAGTGTAAGAAAAGGAATAGAGCTTTTTCAGGTGAAAATGAACTAAAGAAAGGACATGGAAGCTTCCAGAATGCAGGATAAGCACTGCTTCAGGGCCCAAATCCAGCTTTTGGCACACATGCGAGGGTATTCCACATTTGCTTCTTTCTCCCAACTTTCTTTCTCTTCCTTCCTTTTCTTTACTCTGTCCTTAATTTAATGATAAATAATTCTGAGAAGAAGCAATTTTGCAAAGGTCACCACTTACTTTTTTTCTGTACTTACATTTCTGAAATGTCAACCTACAATCTTATTTATGAAAACATGCCATTAGAAACAATGGCCACAATAGCAGATCCGGACCTTTTGATTTATTTCCAATTCTTTTTATTTATATTAATCCTAATTAAGTTGTGACATGTATATTTATATTCTAGACTAGAAGAGATCAAGTCAGAAGTTAAACAGAATATAGCATTTAACATGTATATAATATATGAGTATAGTACATATATAATCTTCACCTCTCAGTGATTGGAAAGCTAGTGATGACAACTTTTCACCTTTGGATTCAGGCCTTTTTGGAGCAGAGACTGAGACCCATTGAACTCTTCAAAATACAACTTTTACATTTGTCGTATTATGTGATAATGCATACATATCGATGGCCTGAGCCTTGTAAGATCATCATATTTAAGAGAAAGCAGCAACTATTCGCTGTCTTTGCCATCTGTGAGGAATATGCATGATTGTGAAGGCTGCACATCTGAGGGAACCCTGGCTGAGGACCTGGGTGTGGTCTGATATTATTTGAGAGCTCCACAAAACCTAACATGATCCACTTGTCCACTTTAGCCAATCAAAATTGGAACATGACCTTCCAAAAGTGAATGCTTTGCATTAAAATGTGAGTGCCTTCAGATAGGAGGGGTCTTGTTCACAAGTTAGGAGAACTGGTGGTGCAGTCGGTTAAGCATTGGGCTGCTGGATGAAAGGTGAACAGCTGGAGCCCACCAGCCGTTTCCCCAGGGAAGACTCAGAGCTTTGGAAACCCTGTGGAGTGGTCTACCCTGTCCTCCAGTGTTGCTAGGTGTCAGAAGCCACTCAGAGAGGTGGTTTGGCTTTGGCATCTCTTTCCAATGTTTCTGCTGTCTTTTTGGAGTCAAAGTGTGAAAGATTGGTGGGATGCTGTCTAGATTAATTTGTTGAGGACAATGAACAATGAGATATAAGAAAACATTTCTCACTGGAGGGCGAAGGATCGATTTTTAAAAACATTTTTCATTTGCCTTTTTGTCTCGATGAATGGAGTAACACAATGTGCATCAGCACAGACCTGTGTTGCACAGGGTTACCGATGGGCACGCTTGCAGAAACAGATAACCAGGCTTGTCTTTCAAGAAACATTCCTAGGTGGCCTCCAACTTCCAACTTTGGGGCTAGCAGCCCCAGCTTGTCAGCTGCTGGCTCCATCCAGGAACCCCAAGCAAGTCATAGTTTATGCCATCTATTTGATGCTGACTCCTGGTGATTCTATAGAATGGAGTAGAACTCTCCCATAGTGTCTTTTTAAGGAGAAAATATTTACAACTGTCGATCACCAAGTATTTTCTCTGTCAAAGTGGCTGTGGGTTTAATCTTCCTGTTACAGTTAAGCATTTAACCATTATAGCCCCAGGACTTCTTCTTTGTAATCATTTTATTGGGCCTCTTACAGCTCTTATCACAATACAAGCACATTTGTATATATGTTGCCATCATCATTTTCAAAGCATTTTCTTTCTTCTTGAGCCCTTGGTACAGTATTAGCTCATTCCCCCCCCCTCCTTTCCCCACCCTCCCTCATGAACCCTTGATAATTTATGAATCATTTTTATTTTCATATCTTACACCGACCACTGTCTCCCTTCACCCATGTTTCTGCTATTCATGCCCCTGGGTGGCGGGTGGTTATATATTGATCATTGTGATAGGTTTCCCCTTTTTCTCCCCACCTCCCCACTACCCTCATGGTATCGCTACTCTCATTATATTCCTGAGGAATTTATCTGTCTTGAAATCCATGTGTCTGTGTGTTGAGAGCTCTTATCTGTACCAGGTTATATGCTCTGCTATAGCCAGATTTGTAAGGTAGAATTGGGGTCATGATAGGGTGGGGGGAGGAAGCATTAAAGAAATAGAGGAACGTTGTATGTTTCATCAGTGCTATATTGCACCCTGGCTGGCTTGTACCTTCCTTGTGACCTTTCAGTGAGGGGAGGTCAAATTATCTACAGATGGGCTATGGCTCTCCACTCTGCCCCACCCCATCCTCCCCTCATTTACATCGATATGATTGCTTGTTCCATTAGGGCTTCCTCCAAGAATGTATAGAGAGTCTCAAATATGTCTTCATGGACCAAGATGTCCCCCAAATAGATGTTATTTGCAAACACAAGGATTAAACACGGCAATAAAGATTCCAGTCCCCATATGTATCTTCCAAATGTACTCTTGTTGGGTAAATATATAATTATCTAACATATTCTCTTTGGTCATCAAAGGCTTGTCTTTGAAACATGCCCCATGTGAAGATGAACAGATTTCGATACTATAGAAGCAACCCTGGTCAAGGCATAAAGTTGAAAAGCAGGACAGAATTAATTGAAAATGTGCATCTTGTGGAAGACAAGTGGCCCAAACTGAAATAAAATTCAAATCTGTCACCAGAGGGGAATTGAAACATGTAGTCTATCTTTAACATGGTTCTGCACATTCTGAATACCAGCTTAACCAGTTGAAACCTATGTTAAGGCTTTCCACATTGCCATAAGATCAAGAAGGCAAGCTGGTGTCCCTATGGTTAAAATGCTCAGCTACTAACTACAAGATAGATGGCTCGAACCTGCTACCTGCTCTGCTGGGGAAAAGACATGCTAGTCCACTTCTGTAAAGTGCCACAGTCTCGGAAACTCAATGGGGACAATTCCACTTTTTCCTAGGGTTGCCAGGAGTCCAAATTGACTTGACAGCAGAGGGGTTGGGGCTATAGGAACAAGAAGTTTTATGCTTAATCTAAGCATTACTTCATTTGATTTCATTTCCAAGTCTTCCTGAGTCTTGTAGTGAATGGAGTAAACCTATAATTGAATTGCTCCAGAATTCATCCATGCTATGTACAGAGCACATCATCCATGAAATCTATGATTGTCACAACAT